CACAACCAGTCACAATCAATCACCACTGTTCACAACCAGTCACAATCAATCAGTCCCCAAACACAGATGATAGGTACACAAACTTCTGTTCTTGTTCACACCACTACTGATTTCACAGAACCATAAATCACAATGACATTAATTCAGCAACTCATTAACCACATACAAGCCCTCTTGAAGCTGCTCAATAGAGGTTGAGCATCACAAGCACCACCACACAACCATATCTATCACACGTGGTACAGATTTGTCTGACCTTTTCAGAGGGCACTACAAATCCAAAAAAAAAAAAAAAACTACTACCACTGCAGTAACCTGTCATTCGATTCAGGTCACTTGTGACCAACAARGGCTTCAAAACAAACTACAGACCCACACAAAAGGGTCAAACATACCCTTACACCATTCCGCCACTGCCAACACAGCCTGTTCTTGGACTTTTTTTCCAAGAACCAAGGCTACAAACAACCCAGAAATACCAACAGCACAAAAAAAAGGTAACCAACCTCTGATGGAGAGCTTCAGTCGACCATCCACTTCTGGAATTATTTTTCTTGAAAAATAGTCAAGTTCTGAGCAGAGGAAGAAGGACTAAAGTGTTCTCAGACCTAGGTCGAACCTGTGTTCTCCATTTTCAGCCCAGAAAGAAGAAAGAAAATGAAGTCACGATCAGAGAGAAGCAGGAGAGGAGATTTAGAGAGCAATGTCCTGCACCGATACCATGTTTCTTCAGTAGCTACAGCAGTTCGAACCAGGAGAAGAGCAGAAGAAGAAGAAGAAGAAAACAGTTGAACATTGTAGGCTAAACCCTACCATTCGACCATAATATGGATTAGGGGTTTAATTAAGTACAAAGACTAAAACCCCGCTTAGTATGGGACAGGAAGTCTAATTAGAACTGCCACATAAGCACATAACTTAAACTGATTGGAAAAGACGAATCTACCCCCCATTTGCTAACTCTAACAGGAAGCAACGGTTGATAAGCCAAATCGAGGAATTAGATGCAATGGAAAAACTGGGATGTTTTGGGGAAAAGGACAAAGAGGTGAGGTGGGAGTTGAGGAAAAATCTGGAGGACACAATTTTTAAAGAAAGAAATTAGTTTGAGGCAAAAATCCAGACACAAATGGGTGAAAGAGGGAGATAGGAATACAAAATTCTTCAATGCTATAGCTAATAGCAGAAAAAGGAAGAACTCCATTTCTAAGTTGGTGGTTGATGATACAACTATAACCCAACAGAATGAGATTGCTGGGGCTTTTGTGGAATATTTCAAATTTATCTTCAGCAGGCCTCTAAACGAGAGATTAAGGATTGAAGGGTTGGATTGGCCCAGGCTCCCTGATGAGTTGATTGAGTGGTTGGAAAGAGAGTTTGAACTGGAAGTAAGGGATGCCATCTTCTCTATGGATAGATCTAAAGCCCCGGGCTGATATCCAAAGTGTTTTCTCGGAATTCTTTGAAAGAGGGGTGATAAATCCAGGCCTGAACTCTACCTTTATTTCCTTAATTCCAAAAAAGGAGGGAACATGTCACCCTAAAGAGTTTTGACCCATCAGTTTGGTAAATAGCCTCTATAAGATCATTGCTAAGGTGTTATCCCGAAAAATTAGAGAGGTGCTTCCCACAATCATATCCCCTAATCAAGGTGCTTTTGTGAAGAATAGACAAGTTGTAGACCAAATCTTAATAGCAAATGAGAGTGTGGAGGATTTTAAAAGAAGAGGGAAGAAAGGGTTGGTGTGCACATTGGATCTAGAAAAGGCTTATGATTTGGTTGATTGGTCCTTATTGCTAGAAGTATTAGAGCCCGTTGGTTTTGGGCAGAGGTGGTGCAAATGGATAAGAGGGTGTATCAGAACGTGCCACTATTCTATATTGGTGAATGGTAGGGTGATAGTTCATTTTCCAGCTACTAGGGGTATTAGGCAAGGGGACCCCCTCTCCCCTTCCTTTTTACCCTGATTGTTGAAGTGTTAAGGAGGCTTATTGAGAAAGAAAATGCTAGATGATTGGTAAATGGTTGGAGAGTTGGGAGGGACAGGGTTCCGGTCACTCATTTACAATTTGCGGATGACACAATTCTGTTTTGTGGTGGGGAGGAGATTGGGTGGGTTAGTAATTTAAAGATGGTGATCAAGGTGTTTGAACAAGCGACTAACTTCAAGGTAAACTTTGATAAGAGTTGTGTGATTGACATCAATATGAGTGTCAGAGAGGTGGGAAGAAAGGGCTCAAGTTTTGGGTTGTGAGATTGCTCAATGGCCATTGAAATATCTGGGGCTTCCACTAGGGGATAACCCTACCACGAGGAGCTTTTGGAACCCGGTGATTGACAGATTCACAAAAAGGCTAGCCTCTTGGAAGAAAAACTACCTATCTTTGGGTGGTAGGATAACTTTGATAAAGTCAAGCTTGGCAAACCTTCCGATTTACTTTCTGCTGTGTTTAGAATTCCTGAGGGAGTATGTAGGATTTTGGAAAAATTAATGAGGGATTTCTTATGGGAACCAAGGGAGGAGAAAAGAGGCCATAGAGTTAAGTGGGACTTGGTTACAAAAGCCAAAAGTGATGGTGGTCTGGGTGTGGGTAACTTAAAGAAGAAGAATGAAGCTCTTTTGGGGAAATGGTTATGGAGATTGAATAAAGAAAGGGAGAATTTGTGGGCTAAAATAATCCTAAGTATTCATGGGCAAGAGGCAGATGGCTGGAACACGGGGATCTCATCTAGGGCTACAAGGGCTTCTCCTTGGAAGTTTATTCATGCCATCCTTCCTTTGTTTCTTCCTTTTATCAGGTATGACCTTTGTTCGGGTATGTCTGTGAGATTTTGGGAACATATTTGGGTGGGAGACATTCCTTTGAAAGAGCAGTTCCCCTCTTTGTTTTCTCTCTCAAGGTTTAAAAATGAGCTTGTAGCCACCTTTCTTACTTTGTCTGATTCTGCTGTTAATTGGAATCTGGGTTTTAGAAGGGCTCTCATAGCTTCTGAATTGGATTCCATCTCTAACTTACTTAAGATTCTGGAGGAGGTAGTTATTGACCCCTCTAGAGTGGACAATAGGGTGTGTCTCTTGTTCTGTCAGGTATTTTCTCTTCTCTTCTTTTTTCAAAGAATTAACACAGTCCCATCCGGTCCTTGGTTCTCCTTTCCCAGTCTTGGAAGTTTGGGGTAGAACAATCCCTCCCATAGTAGGTGCTTTTTGCTGGGAGGCTATCCTAGAAAAGTGTAACACTTGTGACCTACTTCAAAAGAAAAGGCCTAATTGGTGTTTATCCCCGCACTAGTGCATTTTATGTAAGAAGAATGGTGAGAGCTGTTATCACTTATTAGTTTCTTGCCCCTTTGTTTCGGAAATCTGGTGTTTGTTTTTCTCTCTTTTTGGTTGAAAATGGACCCCCCCCCCTTCAAGTGTGCAGAGCTTATTTAGTACTACATCAGTAAGGCATTTAAAAAAGAGAGGTAAACTCTTGTGGAGATGGAGTGTGTGGGAGGAAAGAAATCAAAGAACTTTTCATGAGCAAGAAAAAAGCAGGGAAGCCATTATTGAATTAATATATGTTAGGATGGTCCATTGGGTCAAGTCTATGAAGATATTTGAAGGTTGTTCAGCAGGAGACATCATTCGAAAGTGGGAAGAAGTGGGTCAGTCTGCTCCCTTGACTTCTTCCCCTAGTCCTGCTTGGACTCCATCTTCGGAATACATTAAATTGAACTTTGATGGTAGCAGTGAAGGAAACCCAGGCCTTTCAGGTATAGGTGGAGTGTTCTGCGATGAAGAAGGTCGAATTATTGCCATGTTCTCAGCACCTATAGGCTGGGGGGATTCATTGAGAGCTGAAATTTTGGCAACTCTGGAAGGGATCAAAAGAGCCCAGCAGTTGAAAATCAGAAATATGTTGGTGGAAGGAGATTCTAGGCTGACAGTTAGATGGTTGCAAGAGGAAGATTCTAGTCTGTGGAAGTTCTCAAATGAAAAAAAGAAAATCAACCAGATTACTCAAAACATGCAAATTCAGGTTCAGTGGGCCAAGAGGTGTGCCAATTCTCTGGCAGACTCTTTGGCCAAACAAGGGGTGCGAAGAGCAAATCTTTTTTGGGTTGTGTTGTAATCTGACCATTAATGTTAGGGAGGGTTAAGTGTTTTTACCCCTCCCTTCATATTGTATCTTTCTATAATATTTTTTTCTTAATAAAAGTTACTGTTATTGATAAAAAAAAAATGTACAAAGAAGGTTGTGCCAAAGCACTCCTAAGATACAATTTAAAACTTTATCCTTGCCTGACAATGTTTCAGCCTTTGAATTGTTTATTAAGTGCTACCTAAGCTATCAAATTAGAGGAACTGATGTTTCTCATAGTCACTCTGCAGCTAGCTTTTCTTGGTCAAACTTTTTCTAATGAATGAATGGTTAAGATATTGATGCACAGATCAAAGGGAAAAGTTATTAAAAGGAAGAAAATATAAATACTGTAAATCAAGATAACAAATCATTTACATAGATTGATCAATTGCCTCTATGGATTCTAAATAAGGATGGTCAGCAAACAAAAACAAATAGTGTTATGGACCTAAAGGGCAGATAATATGGGATTTTGTTCCTTACGTGGTCTATTAGGGTGTGTGTAAGGAGATAAGTAAGAAATTTGAAAGCTGCTCTCATTCTCTTCCCAGGATACAGTTATCATTACCAATCCAAAAGAAAGAAAGAAAGAAAGAAAGAAAGAAAGAAAGAAAGAAAAGGATACGCCCTGATATTATATCTTTTCATACAGATTGTAACTCATTCTCAAGCGCTTGGTGTGGCAGGATGTTGCACGAAATTGGCTAGTCTTTGGTTGTGTAGTTGGCATATTATAAAACCCTTTTTGTATTATATATTTGTACTATTCTTTTCAGTAAGAAAAAAAAATAATATCTGCAAGAAGATTGGTAACAATATTTGCAAACACAAAACCTTCATGACAGAAAAGCTCAATTTCCTGCAAAACCAACCTCAAACATAAGATTATACTTGCCATCCCTGTTCCTCATCCTGAGATATGATTGGCATGCTTCTGGATCTTCACCTGGTGGTAGAAGGTATATATCATACGTCTCCTCCATAGTTTCTTTGTGTTCTTCAGAGATAACAGACTTGATTTGATCAACTGTCACTGTTCTCAGCGACTACAATAATAGAAAGCACTCAGTGCTAGATGAAACAATTATAGAACATCAGTAATGAACCATTTTTTACTAGTAGTGAACCATTTAAGTTTGAAGAAATAAGATGGAAACTAACCTTTAAAATGTACATGGGGTTCTGGAATCCTGTGAATGGATTGAACTTATTGGTAATTTTTATATGAGCTGTTTGGAGATCTGGCTCAATAAAAGCCTTGTACATTGGATATACCTGTGCAGAACAACAAACTATAAATGTAAATGCTTCATGATAACCTAGTTTGCCAGTATCACACAGTCAAAACTTTCTAAAGAAAACATCTAACATGGGGCAAGTGAAAGAACCGTTTCAGAGATCTGATGGATTATTTCTTCCGGTTCTTGCCCAGCACGTTGTATGTCACGTAAAACCCGTTTTACAAGGTCAAAGTGAACTCCACCAGTAACAGATACTCGAAGGTCCAGAAGAGGTCGCAACTTTTCACTCAGAGCATAGATGCCCTCAATAATCACAAGACGGGAGGTTGGAACTTCAACTGTCCTGTTGAGAATATAAATAAAAAAATATATTAAGAATTAGGAATATTGAGGAATGTTGATAACTTCATTAGATCTATTAGGGTCCCCACCTTTTCTTTTTAAGAAAAGTGCATGAAAATAAAAGATTTGAACCTGGAGAATGCATTCCTTCTACAAAAATAAAAATAACTACAATAGTATATGCCTGTAATTCTGCAGACACATTGAAACATGCACATTGGTGTTGCAGTGAAAAGACAAGGAATTCTTGGAAAGTTTTACTGAATAAGTGGAAAAATCTTACTCAATTGAGCAAATACATGACCACCTACTGGTTGATCAGCTGGTACTAAGTCAATATATGTAGCTCTAGTTCCATATGTTTAACTATGGGAAATGTTTACCCAAAACAATTAAGCACATAAAACATCCATCATTCCATACTTTTTTTGGTAACTGTAAAGCTTTATTGCATTATTAAAAAGATGTTATTTACAATGTGCCATACACCCCTATTATAGGTCAGCATGTCTTTGTAGCCCTTCTGTGTTTTGGCTTTTAGATTACAAGCTTCCCCCATGAGAAGTATTTCCACAAAACAGTTGCTCCCAAAGGGCACCTTTTGCCAATGATCATCCATGTCATTCATGGATCTCTGTGTCCATTAAAACCTTAGCCCCAATTCTGCAGCTAATCTTCTTACTTTCATGATCTCTTGTCTGAAGAGCCATGGACCAGAATTTTATTGTTTGAACCAACCAACAACCAATTTGGAGTCACCTTCAGCCACAATGTGACTATATTGCAAGGATTTTCCTATTCTCAGCCCAGATTGCAATCAATTCAGCCTTTATAGAGTTCTATATTCCAATGGGACATGAAATATAAGGCCAAGACATCTTTGTTCCTGAAAACACCTCCAATACCTGAAACTCCAAGGTTACCCAAACTACAATGATAAAAATTGAATTTATTGAGATTTGGTTACAGAGGGATCCATATTGATCTTATCCCCCTATAAATTGATGAGTGTGGCACAATATTTCAATTTCAGAAAATGTCATCAGTTGTGAAAGGCTTGAAGGCTTACATAGACTTCATCTAATGAGCAACTTCCATGGATATGATTTCCATAAGGACCCATTTGGACTGAGATTTGTCTTTAAAAATCCTATTGTTCCATTCTTCCCATATTGAGCATAGGAAAGCTGCCCTCATCCAAAGAATCTTCCCTCTTTTTTTTCTTTTGTGAGAAGAAAGAAGAGCAGAAAAGCCTCATAACCTCCCTAGGAGGATCAGACCTGCCACCAACGACAGCAAAAGGGAAAATTCCAAATGCTGGATGTAAAAGAGAAGGAGATTAGTAGATGGTTAGTAGTTTCACATCTTGCTCGGAAAAGGAAACCTCTCAACAAAAGGCGGCCCTTCCAAACAGCTCTCATAGGAAAATGGGGTAATGGATGAAGAGGAAGAAAAGAATTTAAAGAAAGAAGCACAAGAGCAGACACCAAAGTAATCAGCAACCCAAATACTAAAGTCAGCTGAACTGGATGTTAATGTTTTGTAAACATCCACAAAAAAATGAGCCGAGTGAAAAGTGGGCATGGAAATCTTGACCCACTTTGCACTCACCTGAACTGGATGTTAATGTTTTGTACCTTACATTTTTGTTTTTATGCTATTTTCTAACAGACCCTTAGTTCCAAAGAGATATCACTAGGTAAGGAGGGAAAGTCTAAAACATCAACCTTCAACCTTCCACTTGGGGAATGAGATCCTAGTAAGGACTCAAATGTGATCCACAAAAACCTTGGGTATTTCATCCCATTGTGAAATTTCCTCTCCACTAACAACCAACCTAGTGAAACAATTCTTTTTTCTCCTGCCACTTGCCAATGAGTTAAAAAAAAAAATTGGAGTTAGGATCCCCTATTTAATTTATTTGATAGAAATTTTTTTTCCAACTAATCACCTTGCTCTTAAGGATTGCATCCAACTCATTTTTGGATTCCAATGCTTGGTTCTCCCCTATTCCAACAAACCTCTCTCCTATTTTCTATCCAACACCTCTATTTGGGAAAATATGGCAGTTTACTTTCCCCTAGAAGACCAAAGACCACTATATTCCAAGATTTCAATTTTAGGTTCGATCTTTGAAATTTCTTCCAAGATTAAAAGCCCTTTGATCTAGCAGTCAAATCCTCCTCCCACCACAATTTAATACTAAAAAACGATGGGTGGAATAACCACATATTCTCAAATCTAATAAGGATGGGTCCAATTCTAGGGGAGGCATATGAGGTTATGATGGGACAGTGATTAGAGAGGTCTAGAAAGGGCTCTAAAAGAAAGATGAGACCAGTTCCCTTTCCAATAAGTGAGAAAAGCAATTTGTCCAGTTGGAGCAAGTATGCCTAGCTGCGAAGTTTGTCTAAATAAACACAACTTACAAATAAGGGATTTCCTTGAGTTAACTTTCATTGATAAAACTATTGAATTTTGTTACACTTCTATTGATGTTTTAATGAGGGTGTTATTAAAGTTCACTCCCATGAACCTCTACGGAGTACAGTTCTTCCTAGTAGAATTTCTCTCTATATTCCTTCCCTCTATTTTTTCTCATCCCACCCATGTTGACTTTCCTCACAAGAAGTATCACCATCCCCTTCAAAGCCTAAACGCTCTTTTCCTCTGCCAAATCCTAATACATTTCCTGAATCAGTTTCTAGATCAATTTCATAAGATCTCCTGCGTGGTTATTGTAGACCTATTTAAAAGAGCATCACCTGTGGCTGTGAATGCTGTGCAGCAAAAGGAAGGTAAACAATAAAAGAATCAGGAATAACAGAACTCAAAGAGTGAAAAGGATGCAGCATATTAGGCCTGGTTTGTTTGAAATTCAATTTCATTTGCATTGGTGCAAAGTATGAGGTGCAAATGAGTTGAATGCAAAAACAGTTATATTTATTTTAAATTTTACTTTGTTTTGTTTGTTTACAATATAAATGGAGTAAAATAAAACCTAAAGCAAAGTAAAACTCGAGGTAAAAGTGAATCATAAGTTATACTCTTCTGCTCTGCACTCTCGTACATCTGTAGAAGTGTAAATGAAATTGCATTACAAACAAACAAAGCCTTAAGAGGGGAGTCTGTTGAGGCTGTGAGTGTGTGAAAAGCAAACTTTGGGAGTCCTCTACCCTTTGTGGATTGGTTTTAGTTAGTCAGTTCACCTAAAAATGGGTTTCAAAGCTTTCCAAAGAACTTGCCATTTCATTTCTTGTTAACCCAGTTGTTTCTTTGTTTTCTTTCTTTTTTTTTTTTCTTTTTTTACACAAAGCTGTAGTTTTCTAGCCTCCCACATACACCCTATGTTGGTCCTCCAAAAACCTGAGTTTCTTTGCGCCACCATTGGTGAACAAATGTTCTCTGTCTTGAATTGAATGCCAATTGTGTGCTCTCCTTCTGATTCCTTCCTCCATGATCAAGCCTTGGGTACTGAATAATATTGCACATACCAATGCTAGACCCATCAGACAAGTCTTCCACCTTTTATAGTCTTCACACCAAATCTATCCCTTGTCTGAATCTACTTGTAGGTTTTCATTGTGATCTCTACAGTAGAGAGATTCAGTTTGTCCACTTCATTGTGATCTCCTTTGTATTGGCACCCACTCCAACAAGATAATGTAAAGCCTTGTGCTTTTGGTCTTTGCAACTTCAAATCCTTCAACCTGACAGGAGGAAGATGACAACTCCAATGCTTTTAAGATCTATTGTCCATTTATTCTCTTTTCGAGGCAAGCTATTGCATTCTTCGGTTGCTGGTTCAAACCAGGCCAAACCAGTCTGTTTGATGTTTCTTGTTCTTTAGTTGAACCTTAAACCCCCAGATTGACTCAAACCCTTCTATCCACTTGGCCACTAGTCTTGGCTCTTCCATACCTACCACTTCTATATTAGTTACCTATCACCAAAGGCACTTTGCCTTTCTCCAGAAAAGTTTTGCCAGGAATTACCATTTTTGTATTAATTTTGCAAAATGTGAAATCAAAACTCTCATTTCCTCTTCATTCCTCTGCATAGTTTCCATTACTCTTAGTATCCAAATGTTGTCAAAATCTTATGATTTACGATACAATTCACAATTTGGATCATGAATGCCAAGGGTTTCAATTAAAATCTCATGTTTGAATCCTTTTTTGCAAAAAAATTATCCTACAATTTGATTCATAAATCTTATGATTTTTATGATTCTTGCAATTCACTGTGACTTGTTTTAAAGCCCTCACTAGAAAATGATTTATTTATGTTATTTAATACCAGACACTAGCTTATTTTCTATCATATGTAGGTTAAAGAGTTATTGTATGTAGATTATTTAACTTTCAAGTCAAACTTGATTATATCATTTTAGGTTTCTATCTATCTATCTATATAATTTTTTGGCAAGTTTGTAAAAAATAGAAATAATCCTACGATTTACAAAGCGATTCACAATTCAGTTCGATTCAACTTTCTCTACAATTTACAATAAAATGACGATTTTCAAAATATTGGTTCAATGATGTTGCATCTGCTTCTAGGAATTCTCTACACAAAGTCTTATAATGATGCAGGATCATATTTGCTCATGACTCAAGAGTACCATGCCCCATCACACAGCCAAATGACATGTTTCAGATTCTCCTCCAAGAACTTCTCCAAGGCTCACCAATCCCTTCCTTTCTGGCTGTGACTATGATCACTCTCTCCCATTTCTCATCCTTGTCTTCCACTGAGATTGAATGCTTCAAGGATGCCGATATACTGTTGACTAACTGGTTTGGCCCTGCACATAGTTTTATCATTACCCTATTAGGGTACCTTCATTAACTACTGCAGATTCCTGGAGAATAGTCTCCATTCCAAACACTCTTGTAGCTTCTGGAATACATATTTCCTGCCTCTTGTTAGATGCAAATTTTTCAGTTAAGCAGAGAAATCTTTCTCTTTTGTTCTCCTTCCTTTCTACCTTGTATGATCATCTATCTCCTACCATCTTGTTGCTCCATAACCCTATATGCCCAACAAGGCATGGTCTGTCCATGGAACTTTTGAACCAGAAGATTGCCTCTTCTTCTAGTCTCACTGTTCCCTTTCTTCCTTCTCTAATTTTTAGAGATACTTTGTCTCCTGATGCAAACTCTTTTGAGATGAACCCCATCGCTTCGATGCTTAGCATCTTATTCCATCATATATGTATAATACTTATTAAACAAAGGCAGCCATATGCTCAAAAGAGATAAAATCCATACACAGAAAACCTAATTAATTTAGCTTTGATTCATGCATATCTTTGCTACACTAAGAATCAGAACCTGTGACTTTTTAATGACCAAAGCCTTGCATATCTAAAAGCTTTTATTCTACAAGCAGAAGGTAAGGAGCAAACCTGTATCCTGTGCGGCAGCTAGACTTGAAATCATATATTGGCACCTGAACAGGCTTCCCTTCTTTTAAACCATGGATATTCTCAAGCAATGTGTCATAATCAGTCAATCGTGGGTCTGTTTCAGAAAATAAAATGTTAGATATCTATAAAAATGGAAAAGGTGGGTCATAATCAGTCAAGTGAAATTGGCAAATTGAAATAATAAATAAAGCCTTTAGCTCCATGGGAAAAAGTGGAGGAAAGCAAAGAAAATAGAAATGGAAAGGGTACTTGATGTACCAATCAGTATATAGGTGGTCAGAATCATCATCTGCTATATCCCACCTATGTGGAAGCGTGCTGAAAATGCAAGATCTAGGGCCCGTTTGGCGCGTCTTTTTGGGAAGATCTTCTGGTAGCTCTGACAGTCAAAAAACGCATTGAGCTTTTGCATGAAGATCTGAGCAGCCTAAAGCTAGTTTGGCAGAAGCACGACTTTCTGTGCGTCTTTCCGTGTCTTTCCGCGCAAGAATAAAATGCGAAAGACACTGTTAAAGTGAGCCAAATAGGGGTAGTTTAGTCATCTTATGTGTGTTAAGTAGTTTGCTTATATGGCAGTTTTATTAGAGTACTCTGCCCCACACTTAAGTATGGGCAATTTAGTCTTTGTAAAAGATTATTAGACTCTAATAAAGATTAAGGGAGTCGACTGGATGGGAATTCATCAGATTTCGACAGACCCTTATTTCCTTCTTCTTCTTCCTCTTCTTCTTCCTTCACTTCCTGATTCGGGTTAATGTAGCAGCATTTGAAACATGGTATCAGAGCCATGTTCCTGACCTACTTCAGTTGGTAAAGCACCTCAGCAGTGTTCGTGGCTCTCCTTCCCTGCGTTTCTGGTCAGTCAATGGAGAAAACTAGTTCGCCCTAGGTCTGAAATCTCACAGCTCGTCTCTCTCTGCTGCGCATATTCCTCTTCATCAAGAAAAGTGACTTCAGCAGTGAATGGTTGGTTGAGACTCTCAAAGGAAGGTCGGTTATCTCTTCTTCTTGTGTTGTTGGTATTTCTGGGTAGAAACCCTTCAAGAGGCTGTTAGTACTGGTCAGAACCTAGAGAACTAGGTTCACTGTTGCCCTAGAACAGGCTGTGTGTACAGTAGCCGAATGGTGTAGGGGTTATTGTAAGTTGTTTAGTGGGGTTAGGGCTGCTGTAAGTGGCCGAGTGGTGTAAGGTGTAATGCTGTGACCTAGCCGAACTTTTGTGGCTGTGTTGTGCCCTCTTAAAAGTGTTAAACTAGTCTGAACTGGGTATAACAGGTTTGACTATGTTGTGGTGGTTGTGTGGCACAATCCTTATTGAGTGGTTGTAAGAGGGCTTACATGTGATTACTGAAGTGTTAAATTGATTCTTATGTGGTTCGTGGTGTTGTGAAATCAGCAGTAGTGTGAGTAAGAACAAGGCGTGTGTATCCACTGTTGTGTTTAGGGGTTGCTATAAGTGCTGGAACATCAATTTCTGGATAATAGCAGTCAGCTTGTTGCTGAGAATTCAGGTTAGAGGCAACTGTGAAAGGTACCATGGCAGCAATAGGAGATGGGTGTAATGATCTATTAAACTGAATGGGGAGAACTATGTTCCATGGGCTAAATCTGTGGAAGTTTTCCTCAAGGCAAAGAGGAAAGTGAAGCACATAAAAGATGAGAAACCATCGGCTGACTCCCCAGGGTTTGATGATTGGGAACAAGAAGATGCTCAAATCATGACTTGGCTATGGAATAGTATGGAAC